GGGGGGAGGGTGGAGAGCAGTGAGTGGGCGGGGGCCTCAGGGAGGGGGCTGGGAAGGAGCGGAAAGAGGTTGAGTGAGGACAGGGCCTTGGGGAGGAGGGTGGAGTGGGGGAGGGACCTTGGGGGAGGCGTGGGGCCTGGGGCCAAAGCAGGGGTGGAGCATCCCCTAGTGCCTATGACGTTCCCTTCAGCTCGGCTGGGCTCGGGGCTGACCAGAATGGACTCAGAATCCTCTCTCTGCGCTGCCCTAAGGACTCCCTGTGCTGCGTGCCACGGGCTAACAAACCCGACTGCACATTGTAATAGGGGCCTGGGCCAGCGACTTGGGCACCGAAGCCAGGGCTTGAGACATCTCACTTTACACAATAGACCCATCCAGCGCCCCCAGCCGAGCCCCTGCCCCTCTCCCTGCAGCACAGGCCCCCTAGCGCTGCCCTGGGCATTGGGGCCAGCACAGACTGCTGGGGAGAGCGCCCCCTGCTCATTGCACAGTGGGGTTGGCTGGAGCTGGGGGTGGGGCAGGCAGGGGGCGATTGTCCAGGGCTTGGTTTTACCCCAATTCAGAACAAGCCCAAATTTATTGATATTTTTTTGCGACCCAACAAGCCCCAAAAACGCTGGTTGGTTCTGTTACTATGGAGGCAGAGGGCCACTGAACAGGGCTGTGAACCCAACACTGGCGGGGGCGGGGGGGGGAGGGGGGAGCTCTGCACCAACCTAGTCTAAGCCAGGCTGTTGGGGCCCCAGCCCCACCAAGAGCTGTTCTGCCTGGTTCCTCCCCCTACAGCGCCGCGACCCCTGGGGACAGTCACGGGCCAGGGGCCAGAGCCAGCGACAGGTGGCAGCTCCGGGGGCTGCGGGGGAGGGGTGGGATTAGCTGCTAACCAGCTTTCATAATGGGGTCAGAGATCAGGATGTGACAGGACTTGAGCAGCATGGGGGTGGGCGTGTTGGGCCCTGCAGCATGGGTTCTGCAGCCAGAAGGGCGAGGGGGTCCCTGCAGTGTGGGGAGGGGGTCCCTGCAGCTGCACTGGTGTCCTTTCAGTATGGGGTGGGGAGTAGGGGGGGTCCCTGCAGCTGAAGGCAGAGTGTCTGGGGCAGCTGAAGGCAGAGTGTCTGGGGCACCTGGCATTGGCCACTCTGAAGACAGGATAGTGGGTGAGATGCCCAGTGTGGGCGTTCTTATGTTCTGTTCTGGGTGCAGGTGTCCTCGTAGCTGGGGGGCGATGGGTCCCTGCAGCCGAGTGGGGGGAATCTCAGAGTCATTGTAGATAGTTCTCTGAAAACAATGTGCAGCACAGTCAAAAAGCGAACTGAATGTTATGAACCATTAGGCAAGGACTAGATAATAAAAGAGAAAATATCATATTGCCTCTGTGTAAATCCATGGTACGCCCAGATCTTGTACACGGTGTGCAGTTCTCGTCACCCCATCTGTCACGGAGTCCCCGGGCGATGCTCTGGAACTGCTTCCCACAAAGCCAGTCAGGACTCTGGGGAGCCTCCTCTCCCTTGGAGCAGACTGTCTTCAGAGCAAGAAGCTCACACGGCCTCACCTTCCTGGGTCTGACCTTGGAGCATTCAGCATATGCCCCTCCGTGCGCTTCCCACAGCGAGTCCGCCCAGGCGGGGTCCTGGGGAAGCCACAGGGTCCTGCACCCCCACTTCGCAGTCAGATGTGACTCTCAGCCAGCCAGTAAAACAGAGGTTTATTAGATGACAGGAACACGGTCTAAAACAGTGCTTGTAGGTACAGCGAACGGGACCCCTCAGCCGGGTCCATTCTGGGGCCCAGCGAGCCAGACAACCCCGTCTGCCCTGACTTTCCGTCCCCAGCCAGCTCCAAACTGAAACCCCCTCCAGCCCCTCCTCTCTGGCCTTTGTCTCTTTCCCGGGCCAGGAGGTCACCCAATCTCTTTGTTCACCTTTAACTATTCCCTTGCAGGGAGGAAGGGCCCCTGCCATTTATGCACACTGGAGACTTAAGAAATGCATAGGGGGAACTGAGGCACCCACACAGTATTCAGAGGAAACACTAAGAACAGTCCCACTTCGTCACACCCTCTCAAAAAAGATATATCGGAAAAGGTCCAGAGAAGGGCAACAAAAATGATTAGGGGGAGAGGCTAAAAAGACTGGGACTGTTCAGCTTGGGAAAGAGCTGAGGAAGGGGAGAGATATGGTAGAGGTCCGATAAAATCGTGACTGGGGTGGAGAAAGGGAGTAAGGAAATGTTATTTACCCCTTCACATAACACAAGAGCCAAGGGCTCACCCCATGAAACGAATAGGCAGCAGGTATAAAACAAACAGAAGGAACTATTTCTTCACACACCACTCAGTCAACCCGTGGAACTCTTTGCCGGAGATGTTGTCAAGGCCAGACGTAGAATTGGGTTCATAAAAGAACTAGATCAGTTCCTGGAGGACTGGGCTATCAATGGCTATTGGCCAAGATGGTTTGGGATGCAACCCCATGCTCTGGGGGTCCCTAAACCTCTGACTGACAGAAGCTGGGACAACAGGGGATGGATCACTCGATAAATTGCCCTGTTCTGTTCAGTCTTTCTCAAGCGCCTGGCATTGGTCACTGTGGGAAGACAGGGGGCTAGATGGACCATTGGGCTGACCCAGTATGGCCGTTCTGATGTGTCCCTGCAGCCAGGGGAAGGGTCCCTGCAGCCGAAGGGGGTCACTGCTAGTTGGACAGAGTGTGGGTGCCAGGGAGGATGCTGCTCCAGGCCGAGTCACACTCTGCACCTGGGCTCAGCTCTCAGGCACGTGCCCCCCCCCACCCCCCATGGCTGCTTGAGGTGCACTGTCCCCTAACTCCAGTCATGTCCCGAGTGCCTGCCATGCACAATTCCCTGCCAGCATGACCCACAGCACAGACCTCTCACCTCCCCAGACCCATGGCATCGAGAACCCCCAAACCCATCGTAGAACCCACGGCAAGGAGATAAACAGCCCCACGCACCCACAGCATAGACACCCCCCCTACACATCTGGGACTCACAGCACAGAGCCCGTGCACCCCAGGACCCAGAGCACAGTAATATCGCCCCAATGGCACCTTTAGCTGCCATTCCACAGCACCCTTCCCCACCTCGGGACACAGGGTCAGCTCCCTTCCGAGCGCCCCTCCCCTCCTCTCCTCGGGGCACAGGGGCCGCTTGTGACAAAGTGGGAATGTTCTTAATATTTTCTCTCAATACTGTGTGGGTACCTCAGTTTCCCCTATGCATTTCTTAAGGATCTAAGTGGTGGGATAAGGGCATGTGATTGTTGCAGAGCCCTAGAGGGGCAGTGGTGTGCAGGGGTCTGCACAGAGAATGGCTGACACCTTGTCTCTTGGCAACTAATGGCCTGGGTCCCTCCTCCGCAAGGTGCCAACTAAAGGTGTTGGAGAACAAAGAGATCAGGTGGCCTCCTGGCCCAGGAAAGAGACAAAGGCCCGAGGAGGGGCTGGAGGGGTTTTCAGTTTGGAGCTGGCTGGGGAAACAGAGGGAGGCCCAGCATCGGGGTGTGGGCTCCCTGCCCCCCAATATGGTCCTGACTGAGGGGTCCTGTTCTCTGTACCTACAAGCTCTGTTTTAGACTGTGTTCCTGTCGCCTAATAAACCTTCTGTTTTACTGGCTGGCTGAGAGTCACAGTGAATCCAGGAAGTCGGGGGTGCAGGGCCCTGACTCCCCTACACTCTGTGACACCGCTCTCTCCCCAGCACCCCCCTCCTCAGGGCACACGGTCAGCTCCCACCCCAGCCCCTCTCCCCTCCTTGGGGCTCAGGGTCAGTTCCCTCCCCGGACACAGGGTCCTGTCCTTCCCCAGCTCCCCTCCCCAGGGCTCAGGGTCAGCTCCCTCCCCAGCGTCCCCCCCTCCCCCGACCTGTGGAGGTCGGGAGCTGCAGAGGGTGCCATGAAGGGGAGGAAAGGGCTCCCAGACACATGGTCCCCCCTTCCCTGACTGTAGGGCCCCAACCACCCCCTCAGGTTGGGCAGGGGAGCTGTGCACAGGGGGCGTCTGCATGAATGGGGACCCCTCGGGAGGAGGAGCTGCCCCATCTGCGCCAGAACAAAAAGAGGATGCCCCTCCAGCCCCCAACTCCAGGACACACGGTCACAGCCCAGAGATGCTGGGAGAAGTTACACTGGCCCGGTGTCGGCAGGGACACCAGCCAGTCGTGAGGGAACAGGGACAACTGCTGAGAGCAGGGGTCTGGGAGCCAGGACTCCTGGGTTCTATCCCCAGCCCTGGGAGGGACTGACTGTGAGGAGTGGGCTGTGTGTGCTGTCATGCAGATTGTTGTCATCTACTGGCCGAAGCCGGGACTCCCAAAGCCTGCAGGAGCTCGCTGTCTCTGGGCCAGTTCTGGAGGCAGCACCTTCCTTCCTTAGGCATTGCTGTGCCTGGCCACTCCGGACCCCTCTGCCCACAGCTCTCGGGAACTGGGCTGCTCCCAGTGTGCCAAGCTGTGAACTGGCTGGGGTGAGGCCTGTGCTGGGTGCTGTGTGAGGCCTGGGCTCACCTGTGCAGCGCTGAGCGCTTGGCGGACGCAGGCAGACACGGGGCAGTCGGTCATCCAGCGGATTCAGCTCTTTATTCACATCTGCTCAGCTTGGGATGGCGTGTGGCACACGGGGCTCTCCCCCTCCCAGCTCCTGCCTGTCCATGCAGCACAGACCCCATCCGGGAGAGACAGTCGTGTGTCCTGGCCCCCGAAGGGGGGGTGCAGCCCCACCCTGGCAATGGCGGGGTTTATCAGGGACAGCTCCCTTGGCCGCAGTTGGAGCAACCGCCAGGAGACCCGTGCTCCGAGTGGGGCCTGCCAGGGCGAGCTGCCCCACTGCTAGTGAGACGCAAGCCCCAGTCCATGCCAACTTTGTGCTGCAGCCCACAGAGAGTGGCTCACAGTGGGAGGGGAATGCCCTGGGCGCCTGCGTTCATCCCTGAAATGGGAATCCCCCCGGGCACTCACCAAGCCATGCCCCTGCACAGCCGACAGCCATCCCCAGGCTGGGCGGACAGAGCCGGGGAGCCTGGCAGCAGAGAGGAAGGGCCTGGGGGCATGGGGGATGCACTGAAAGCTCGGGGACGGGGGGAATCAATGGGAAGCTGTGGAGGAGCTGTGGCCGGCTCAGTTGTCCTGTGGGAATAAGAGAGCACAGGTGGTTAGGGAGCACTGCCCAGGGCCTCGGGCGAGGGCTGCAGGGAGTGCCAGGCACCTCACCCAATTGCGTGCTTCTGCCAGCCCCAGCCTCACCCCTTCAGTGACACGGCCAGTGCCTACAGCCACTGCCTGCCTGGACCCAGGAGTCCTGGATCCCAGCCCCCCTGCTAGCCCCCTGGATCCCACTCCCCTCCCAGAGCTGGGATAGAACCCAGAAGTTGTGGGGTTCCCTGTATCTCCCTCTCCCTGGGTGTGGGCATGCACCTGGCAGACCACGCTGATGTCCTCCCGGTGGGTGCAGTCGTGGTAGCTCCATAAGCGGTGGGCACAGTTCTGCAGGGTCTCCTCAGTGCCTTTGCAGCGGATGTCATCCAGCCAGATTTTCCCCGTACCCTGGCCAAAGCGGGGCCAATCCTGCAGCTTTGGGGCCAGTGGCTCGGCTGGGCCACAGCCCAGCTCCCGACAGACCACTTGGGCGTTGGTCTCCGACCAGTTGTCATCACACACGGTGCCCCACAGCCCATCATACCGCACCTCCAGCCGCCCGGAGCACTTGCTTGGGCCGTTCACCAGCCGCAGTGCGAAGGGCTCTGTGAGGAAGGAGTGTGTGTGGATCAACTGGGTCGGTGCCCCAGTGCATGCTGGGAAGGTATGGCCTGGCTGGTGGAGGGGGCTTGCCAGGCACTGACCCCCACATGGCAGGGGCGCCAGTGCTGTGCTGTCTGTGCCCTGTGTGCCCAACCAGGAGGGGCAGCTGTTGCCAGGCTCTGCTGGGGCCCCGGCACATGCCGCCCCATGGGCAAGGAGGACCAGCTTGGCACTCAGAGGGCAAAGCCCACCCAGCCCTGCCTATCCTGGGCCTCTGGCAGGGGATGAGGGCCTGGTGCCAGCGCTGCTTTCTCACCTTGGCACATGACTCCAGTGTCCCGGTGGTGGGGGCAGTGCCGCCCCTCCCAGGCTTGGGCTTGGCAGTGGGTCAGCGAGGCCTCCTGCCCGGTGCACTTCAGCTGGCCCAGCAGGATAGGTGCTGAGCTCCGACTGAACTTGCTGCAGTGGTGGGTGACGTACCGCGGGCTCCCACAGCCTAGCTCCCGGCACAGCACCTTGGCATCGGTCAGGTCCCAGCCCAACCCACACACAGCACCCCAGCGGCCGTCATAGAAAATCTCCACCTGCCCACTGCAGCGTGTGGCGTTGCCCACCAACCGGACAGGTGGCTCTGGGAGCTGTGCAGCTAGAGATGGGGGAAGAGATGTGAATGAGGATCAGGGAGAGATCAGGGGCTGCAGAAAGCAACTTACGGAGCTGGGAAAGACCCAGGAGTCCTAGCTCCCAGCCCGCTGCTCTAACCACTAGACTCCACTCCTCTTGTAAAGTCTGAGGCCTTTTTTCTGCAGCCATATTAGGCGAGCAGGAGGAGCAGTCGTGAGCCAAGAAGCAGAAAGTTCCATCTTCACATTCCATCTAAGTTACATTAAAACAACGTAGCAGCGGGCTGTTAAGAAGGCTCTTGTCCTAATAGTGCCCACCCTCACCACATAAAGAAACAGATCTTAAGAGGTTTAAAGAAAACATTGTTTGATGCATTCGGTCTGGCAAGGTACCACTTATCTACACTTGTGGGTGTGAAATCTCTACTTCTTTATAGCTTTGCCTTTATGGTCCCCACTTCTCTCTTGTTTATCTGACTGGTCTCTGTCTGGTTCGTTGATTAGTTCTGTCTGTTGCATAATTAATTTTACAAGATTTCAATCAACTATGGTGGTGGGGGATGATTGGTTAAAGAATTGTTTCATAATGGACTAGGGTTGTGAAAAATACTGTTTTGTAGTACTTTCGTTTAATATGATGGGTTAAGGTATAGCTAGACAGGACTCAAGTTTCTCTATATACACTTGCATGTATCTCCATGTGTCATAAATATACAGCTACGGGTAGCATAAAATCCCTCCTTACCTGTAAAGGGTTAAGAAGCTCAGATAACCTGGTTGGCACCTGACCAGAAGAACCAATGGGGAAAAGAAGATACTTTCAAATCTGGGGGGGAGGGGAGGGGAGGGGAGGGGAAAGCTTTGTTTTGTGCTGTGTGGGTTTTCTCTCTGGAGACAAAGGGAGAGACCAAGCAAGTAATCCAGCTCCCACTGAAATGATACATCTAATATTACAGAAATAGTAAGTAATAGCAAGGAAATATGTTAGAGTATCTTTTGTTTTAGCTTGTGAATGTTCCCTGTGCTAAGATGAAGGTTTATTCCTGTTTTTTTTCTGTAACTTTAAAGTTTTGCCTAGAGGGGAAATCCTCTGTGTTTTGAACCTTTTGTTACCCTGTAAAGGTATCTTCCATCCTGATTTTACAGAGGTGATTCTTTTATCTTTAAATAAATTCTTCTTTTAAGAACTTGGTTGATTTTTCATTGTTCTTAAGATCCAAGGGTTTGGGTCTGTGCTCACCTGTACCAATTGGTGAGGATATTATTCTCAAGCCTTCCCCAGGAAAGGGGGTGTAGGGCTTGGGGGAATATTTTGGGGGAATAGGACTTCAAGTCCTTTCCCTGATTCTTTGTCTAAATCACTTGGTGGTGGCAGCATACTGTTCAAGGACAAGGTGAAACTTGTGCCTTGGGAAAGTTTTTAACCTAAGCTGGTAAAAATAATCTTAGGGGCTCTTTCATGTGGGTCCCCACATCTGTACCCCAGAGCTCAGAGCGGTGAAGGAACCTTGACACCATGCCTCTGAAGAAGTGAGGTTTTTTTACCCATGAAAGCTTATGCCCAAATAAATCTGTTAGTCTTTAAGGTGCCACCAGACTCCTCGTTTTTGTGGATACAGACTAACACGGCTACCCTTCTGCAAGCAGCGGGAAAAAAAAAAGAAAGAAAAAAGCCGCGATCGGCGGCACTTTGGCAGCAGCTCTACCGCCGCCGTTTCATTCTTTGGCGGCAATTCAGCGGCAGGTCCTTCACTCCGAGAGGGACCGAGGGACCCACCGCCGAATTGCTGCTGAAGAGCCGGACGTGCTGCCCCTTTCTGTTGGCTGCCCCAAGCACTGCTTGCTGCGCTGGTGCCTGGAGCCGGCCCTGCCCCTTTGATATTATATAAACTGGGGTCCGAAAGGAAGTTCTTTGGAATCAACTCCAGGACACAGACCAAAGACCAAAGCTACCAGACCTCCACACCCTGCCAATCACACCGTGCAGAAGCTTGAGTCCCCAGATGACCAGATCCCGACTGGCCAGCAGGAAAATTTCGTCTGCTTTATTGGAAGTCATGAGCATTGTATGCTTAGCCTGTGTGTTCTGTGTTGGTAACTGTTAATAAATAGAGGTTAAGGGTATTACTGTGTAAGGCTCTTTCCCTGGAAGGCCCCACAAACCCACACAAGATTTCGCCCTGAGCCCTAGGAATTGGGTAAGGGAAGGTGTCTTTCCCCCAGAGTCCTAGGAACTGGGAAAAGGTCGAGGTGCCTAAATCAACCAGGTTATGCCTTGAGCTCTAGGAACTGGGCAAAGGTGGGTGCCTTAGAGTTTATAGGTAACAGCCTCCCAGAGCCAGGAATAAACCCAGGAGACCTGACTCCCAGCCCCCCAACCCACTAGAGCCCACTCCCGTCCCAGAGGTGGGGATGGAACCCAGGAGTCCTGGCTCCCAGCCCTGCTGGGGATGTATCAGTAGCGGATGACGTGTGTGGATGCTGACCCTGCTGCATGAGGGTGTTTTCCCTTCATAACTTTGCCCCATGGCACATGACAGGGCACAGAGCCCAGGCCCTGCTTGTCCCACCCTCCGGGTCTGTCAGGTCCCCGCCCTGCTCCCCGGGCAGACTGTGCAGTGCTCACCCAGCAAGGCTGCTGTCACGTTATTGATTTGAACTGGGACCATATAGAACATGGTTACAACCAAGGTCCTGTAGTGGCACCAAATCTTATGTAAAGGGGGTCATATAAGGTGTCTAAGACCAGGTTATGGGTTGCTGGTTATGATTATGCTGTCTGTATGCATGTGTCATTTTTGTAGTTGAAGTTATGAATATTGGCTATATACTGTGTATTTCAAACTTATGCTATGCTGCTGGGTGACATCCCAGGCAAACTGGTGTTAGCTCTGCCTAGCCTGCTAGATGGCCCATTAAGGACCATCAGCCATACAATTGACCCATTGAGAGAAGGCAGATACACCTTGTAACTCAGCAAAGTACGCAGGAACTTGCCCATGTGACTCCAGACTCCATTTTGCTGTAATTTTCCACAGTAAGAACAAAGAGGTGTTCTTACACCTGGAAAAGACTATAAAAGGCTGATGCCTCATCTCCATCTTGTCTTCAGTCCTGCTTCCTACCTCTGGAGGAACTTTGCTACAAACAGAAGCTCTGAACAAAGGACTGGATGACCCATCCCAGCTGGGGATGTTCCAGAGACTTGATTTGAACCTGCAGTTTATTCCATTACTGCTACAAGCCTGAACCACGAACTTTGCCATTACTGTATGTAATTGATTCCATTTAACCAATTCTAGCTCTCATCTATATCTTCTTCCTTTTATGAATAAACCTTTAGATTTTAGATTTAAAGGATTGGCAACAGCGTGATTTGTGGGTAAGATCTGATTTGTATATTGACCTGGGTCTGGGGCTTGGTCCTTTGGGATCGAGAGAACCTTTTTTCTTTTACTGGGGCATTGGTTTTCATAAGCATTTGTCCCCATAATGAGTGGCACTGGTGGTGATACTGGGAAACTGGAGTGTCTAAGGGAATTGCTTGTGTGACTCGTGGTTAGCCAGTGGGGTGAGACCAAAGTCCTCTTTGTCTGGCTGGTTTGGTTTGCCTTAGAGGTGGAAAAAACCCAGCCTTGGGCTGTAACTGCCCTGCTCTAAGCAATTTGTTCTGAATTGGCACTCTCAGTTGGGTCCCGCCAGAACCGCATCGTTACTGCCGCTCAGTGAGAACTGAGCACCCCACCCTGGGACCCCAGGCATCCTCCCATCCCTCCCTTAGGACCAGGGTTCTCCAGGCCGGCTCACCTTGGCAACGGGCTCCCGCATCCTCGTCATGCTGGCAGAAGTCCCCTGGATCCACGTACGGGCAGCTCCCCAGCGCCGCCTCTGTCCCCTGGCACTGCACGTTCAGCATCAGGACAGGGTCTGACTCGTTGCCCGGGCCAAACACTTTACCACTCAGCGCTTCCATGGCCGGCCCACAGCCCAGCTGCCTGCACACCACGGCCACGTCGCCCAGGTCCCAGCCGTCGTCACACACGGTGCCCCAGCGCCCGTCCAGACGCACCTCCACCCGCCCGGCACAGCGATGGGGGCCATCTACCAGCCTCACGTCTGGCAAAGCAAACACAGCTGCTGAGACGCCTGTTCCGGGGCTGCGCGGGGAGACCCCAGCGCCTGCAGGGACTGAAGGCCCAGCTCAGCGCGAGGCATTGCCAGCGAGTGCAGAACAGGGCAGAACGGGCTTTCCCACTACTCTAACCCTGGGCCCTTCTCCCGCACCTCCCTCCCGCCACATGCTGCACAGACAGGTCACTGAGCCCAGGAAATGGCGCAGGATCAGTGCCCCTGCTTTACAGAAGGGAAACTGAGGCACAGAGACAGGAAGTGACTTACCCCAGGTCACACAGTGAGCCTTGTGCAGAGCAGGGAATAGAACCTGCCCCCCTCCCCACTCCCTAGCCAGAGACAGGGACAGAACCTGGCCCCCTCCCCCTGCTCCTGCTCCCCTTTCCCTGCTCTAACCATAGGACATCGGGACTAAGACAAGGGTGGATCCGGATTCCTGGCTCCCTATCCTGTCCCTTATCCATAAGCTCGTTCTCCTCCCCATTATCCCTTGCTCCCATTTCCACTCAGCATCATGTGCATTAAACACCCAGAGCTTCCCGTTGGCCACGTGGTCACTAGGGAAAGATGGGTAGTGTCCCCTCGAGATCGCCCGCCCGCCTGCAGAGCACACAGCTCCTGGGGAAACAGGGGAGTGCCCTGCTGTGGGGCCAGGACTGGCAGCTGGAGGGGAGAGACCCTGGCTCCCTTGAGCAAGGTGGGCGTGTCCCTACCTGCCCCCCCTCATTTGCATACAGGGCACTCTGCCCCGAGGTGGGCTGGTTAGAGGGGCCAGCGGAGTTAACAGCTTCTTGCTGAGAATTATAGGGGAAGGAAGGGGTGTTGGCAGGGGACCAATAGCTGGGGTTTTGCTCCCTTTGATCTAATGCAATGTGGTTGGCAGATCCCAGTTCTGAGTGAAACTGCAGCACAAGGAGAAACCAGAGCTGGTGGGAGAAAAAGGTGATGCTATTTTCTTAGGGGAACGTGCTCCATTGCAATGAGTCACAGCTCACATAGGAGCAGCTCCTAGTGCCATGCTCCAGTTTGCTCCCATTGCATGCTGGGATCTGCGCTCGGCCAGCCTCCTCGCTCCTGTTGCATTCTGTGACCTAACCTGCCTTAACACCGTTGCACTCTGGGACCTGTGCTTTGGCAGCTGACTCTCCAAAGGGCGTCCGTGGTCACCTCTCCTCAGGCCCCAGCCGTGATGCCAGGGGGGTTGGGATCCTGGCCTGGCTCTGGCAAAGGGCAGCCCCCTGGGGGCCAGACATACATACCTGAGGAGGAGGAGGAGACTCCCACATTGGCAGCTGGGGAGAGACAAGGGAGAAACTGTCAGGAGCAGAGAGGGGCCCGTGCACCCCAAAGCTTCCCAGCCCCACAGCGCCTGCAGGAAAGTGGCGCCGGGCGGGGCAGAATCCAGAGCAGTTAGATCCAGACACGGCAGTGACACGTGCTGGGACCCCGGGGAATGGGGGAGGCCCAGGCCAGCTGCCCATCGGTTGCTCTGCCCTGCTCCTCTCCCTGCTGCACAGACCAGCCCCATGAGGGCACTGCCTGGCCCCACCAGCACACAGACTGAAGCCCTCTCCCTGTGGGGGGGACTCGGCAGGGCAGGGCTCAGCCACATCCCCTGGTGCGGGGAGAACAGGCGAGCTCGTTGTACCCCCACCAGGGATACACCTGGGATGCAGGGGATGCCGAGCCGGCACCTCCCCCCGATGGGGGGGCGGTACCTGCCACACCCAGCGGGGCCCTCACCGAAGCAGAACAAGAGGCACAGCCGCAGATCCATGGTTCCCCCGGGGCGAGCAGCTCCGTCCTGCCGCGATCCGGTGCCAAGCGCTCCTCTCACCCCACCCAGCCTGGGCAGCCCCTTTTAAGGGTTGGCACAGGACTGCCAGGTCAGCATGGGAGGAACCGGAGTGAGGGGCTGGCCCATGGACCGGTCACAAGATCGTTTCCCGGCATCATGGCACCGGGCTCAGCACGTGTCCCAGGGCTGGGGGAGGAGGGCAGGGGAGTGACACTGCGGTCAATAGTGTTGCCTGCAAATGAACCCGCTGATGTGGCAATGGATGGCCAGTGCTGCAGGGAGCAGGGCAGGAGCTCAGTGCGGGGCACTCTCCCTGTACAGGCAGTGCTGGCCCCAGTGCTGGCCCCGGCTCTGGGAGGGGATGGAAGGGAAGGGGAGTGGGGTCTGGTGGTTAGAGCAGGGGGACTGGGAGCCAGAACTCCTGGGTTCTATTCCCCAGCTCTGGTGGGGGAGTGGGGTCTGGTGGTTAGAGCAGGGGGACTGGGAGCCGGGACCTCAAGGCACCTCCCCACTCTGTGACTGTCCTGAGTCCCATGGCGCTGGCCCAACTTTCTGACTGCTTCCCCTTCTGACTGCCCGGAATCTCTGCAGCCGGCTCCACTTCCTTCTCTGGCGGAGCTGGTGCTTTGGGTCTGAGGGGGCTCCCCCCACATGGCAGCTGAGGGAGGAGGGAGTCT